AATTTTGGTTCTTTTAGAAACACAGCAATATCTTCCAACCAGACTGAACTGTCCTACTCCCCTTTCCTGTAAGGACGACTGACCTCTTTTTTGCCTCTAGACCTGCGCATATGCTATTCCCTCTGCCTGGCTCTGGAGCATACTTCCCGCTGACTCCTCCTTCCCCAAACCCAGTGTTCACTTGGTTCCTCTTTTCTACTGTGAGCCAGTTTAGATGTCCTTTCCCTACCTGTTCAAGATAGGAGGTTCTGGCAGCCCCTGGGTGTCCCTGTTGTGGCTCTCACAAGTGTTGTAGTGCTGAAAACCCACTCCTGGGGTTTTTATGTGTGCAGCAAAGGAGGTGATTATCTGCTCCCAGCTGGTTCATATCCTACACCTCTGAGAGTAGAGACTTGTCTCTTTTTTTTTTTTTTTTTTTTTTTTGAGACAGAGTTTCACTCTTGTTACCCAGGCTGGAGTGCAATGGCGCAATCTCAGCTCACCGCAACCTCCGCCTCCTGGGTTCAAGCAATTCTCCTGCCTCAGCCTCCCAAGTAGCTGGGACTACAGGCGTGTGCCACCATGCCCAGCTAATTTTTGTATTTTTAGTAGAGACAGGGGTTTCACCATGTTGACCAGGATGGTCTCGATCCCTCGTGATCCACCCACCTCGGCCTCCCAAAGTGCTGGGATTATAGGCGTGAGCCACTGCGCCCGGCCGAGACTTGTCTCTTATTCCCCATTTGTCCCCTTCACCTTGGGCTGTGCTTGGATACAATGTGTGTGTTCACTATTTGTGGAAGAAGTGGGTGAGTGAGAGTTAACTGGCTTTAAGTGTTTGAGTTTGAGTTTTGAGTAGTCAAGTCGGTGCTTGGGACAGCCATTGCGTGCCATGTCTTGTAGGTATACACTTGCCTGGTCACTGTGGGGGAAGAAAGAGTAGTATTAGTTACTACCCTGTGCTGAGGCACCAACAGCCTTGGAGACGTTCAGAGGACAGTGAGTCACTTCACAGCATCAGCATGGTGTAGTGGATGAGTGATGACGCTGAAGCTGAGCTTGGTCATGTTCTGGCGAGTTGGCCGGAACCTGGAAGCCCGGTCCCCTCCCCAAGACCTCTTTCCCCAGGGTGTCCTGAGAACCACCCAGAGCAACTGTGACCATGGCACTTGTTTTTAAGGAAGTAGAAACCCAAATTAGGAAGAGCGAGCAAACCTCATGTATTTGGGGAAGGGCATGTTGAACAGTGAAAACTGATGTAGGTAACAACGTGTTGAGGTTAGGTTTAATCAAACAGAAAAACTTCTTAATTTCTTAAAGACAACATTTTGTTTTGTAAGTGGAATTAGGGCTTTAAATTAAATATGTTTGCGTGTGTTTACTTGGTTTCCTCAGGCACCTTCACTCATCTCATCTATGACTTAATTGCTCTTCTATCCCTCCCAGATTCGCTGCTTCTCCTCCATTCCATCCCTCCTTTAGTGGAACCACCTGGTACCCAAGCCAGACACACAGGTGTCCCTCTTGATTCTATCTCCTCTGCTTCTGTTCTGTGACTGCCTCTTTTCTTTTTCTCAGGCTGCCTTCTCTCCCTTCCACTGCCTTCCTTATGTGAGGGTTGGCCTACCTTCTGGCCTTCTTGATCCAGGGCTCCTTTCCTTCAACTCCTACTCCACCCTGTTGTCACAGCACATCCAGAATGTGGATTGGAGCCTATGACTCCTCCGCTCAAGGGTCTTCAAAGACTCTCTGGCTTTTGCCTGAAGTTGAGCCACCTGGTCCCACATGGGTCCCCATTCCCACCATGCCACCTCCTGTCTGTTTCAGCTCTTCCAGATGACTTGCAGTTTCCTGTAAAAAGCATGACTTTTAAAAAAGACTTTCCTTCTCTCCTACGTCTGTCTCACTAGCTCTTTAACGCGTTCTCTGACCTAGGTCTTGCCTGTTTCTCCTGCAAAACACTACTTCCACCATTTTGTAGCATCAGTGTCTAATGTTGGTTGGCATGTAGGATGTGCCCTATAATACGTGTTGAAAGAATAAGTGGGAACCAACAGAGACTTTAATTCACACTGAGCTGTAAATGAGCAATATCTGACTCTTCTGAGAATGGATTCTGTTTCAAACACTGGTTGCACTGGAAAAGGTGTCTAGGGAGTGCTGGACAGCAAGAACAAAGGGATCCCACAGAACAGGAAAAGTGGCACTCGAGGGTCTGCGGTGTGCCTATGTTAGATCACCATGAAAAAGGCCAGTGTGTGCTTTGGCAGCTGCCAAAGAATCCTGTGACTTAATTTCCTTATTTGCACAAAAAGAGGACGAGTCTACATTAGGTAATTACTCAAGCTCATTTCCAGCTCTTGACAGTCTACGATTCTTCATATCAAAGTTAAAAATCTAAGTAGAACATTCTGAATTGGTGTCAGAGTTTATGCATTTCCCCTCACTGTATTGCAGGTGCCAAGGGGACAAATACATTGTCATTCTGCCTTCAACAAAGACAGTTTGCATTTTAAAAACAGTAGAAGGGAATACAGGAAGACTGCATTAATACAGTTTTATGCTGGAGAATTTAAACTCCCAAGTCAGGAAATTCACTCATCATTCCCTTGGCAGCTTTTGTTTCTATGCACTGCACATCCCGCTTGCAGACAGCCCCTTGCCAAAGCCTGGCCCGGCCATGACCATGAGTTATGGCAGATTGGGAATCATTACCTTGATCTCAGCCCTTGAGTGTTTAACTTTTCCAAGTTAATGCCTGTTCTTTAGTGTTACATTATCTTGTAGCAAGGTAGTCATTTATAATTTATATACTGGAGCAGCCTTAAAATAGAGACAAGAGGATAATCAGCATCATGAAGCTTCTAGTTTTCCAAAATAACATTTCTTCAGTGAAGTCTGCCTGTAGGAATTAAAACTTGTGGTGAGTTGAAAAACACTTTGTCCTATTGTCAGACTGGGAGATGGGAAATGGATGTGCCCATTACTCAGCTTTAAAAAGGAGGAAGGAGATCATCTTTTCAAAATAAAACTCATCATTTTCTTTTATTTTTCTCAAAAACAATCAAGTGATTCCCCTGCCTCAGCCTCCCGAGTAGCTGGGACTACAGGCATGTGCCACCATGCCCCGCTAGTTTTTGTATTTTTAGTAATTTTCACCATGTATTAGCTAGGATGGTCTTGGTCTCCTGACCTCGTGAGGCCGCCTCGGCCTCTCAAAATGCTAGGATTTACAGGCATGAGCCACCATGCCTGGCCCCTTAAGAATTTTTTTTCATTCCTTTTATTTTTTAATTTTTTGAGACTGAGTTTTACTCTTGTTGCCCAGGCTGGAGTGCAATGGCACGATCTCAGCTCACTGCAACCTCTGCCTCCTGGGTTCAAGCAGTTCTCCTGCCTCAGCCTCCCGAGTAGCAGGGATTACAGGCGTGCACCACCATGCCTGGCTAATTTTGTATTTTTAGTAGACTAGGTTTCTCCACGTTGGTCAGGCTGCTCTCAAATTCCTGACCTCAGGTGATATGCCTGCCTTGGCTTCCCGAAGTGCTGGGATTATAGGCATGAGCTACTGTGCCTGGCTTTCATTCTTTTTCATTGTACATTTTCAGTGTGCCAAGACTTTGAGTGGAGATGTCTAATGAGGGCAGGAAAGGACGGATGCTTCCACAGTTGTGTGGTCTCATTTTTCCCATATCTGACGACCTTGTATTTGAATAGAAGATTACTCATTCACGACCACCATTTCTGTGATGCGTCTCATATGATCCTAATGCACTCGAGTGTGTATTTGAATGTCCACCTGATACTTAAGGGATTGGGGCAAGGAGGGGCCAAGCAGCAAGGTGTGGGCAAGCAGGATGGGAACATCTTGGGTGGTTTGACTTGAAAGCCACTAGGTGGCAACATTTACTAAGCTACCGGCCATTCTCTTCCCTCATTGAGACAGAACTTGCTTTTCCAGATAGCATATGGAATAGCTGAGAAAAGAGTTTAGAAGCCATTGCTTTCAGGTTCTTTTGAAAGTGAGGCTATAGGATAAACACACTACAGTATATTGGTATCTATTCATCACCTGGGTTTAGATACCAGGAGTTTGAAATTGCTCTCTGTAACTGAGTGAGTAGCTTCCCCTTTGGCCTGAGTTAGGCATCCTTGATAGGAGAGACCTGTGATTGGACTGTCTGGTCTCTCATGTTTCTGTTTCTCCATGATTTATGACTTTGATTACAGCTTCTTTATATTTAAAAAAAATTGTGGGCTGGGTACAGTGGCTCATGCTTGTAATCCCAGCACTTTGGGAGGCTGAGGCGGGCAGATCACAAGGTCAGGAGTTCAAGACCAGCTTGTTGAATATAGTGAAACCCTGTTTCTACTAAAAAATACAAAAATTAACCCAGCGTGGTGGCCCATGCCTGTAGTCCCAGCTACTCGGGAGGCTGAGGCAGGAGAGTCGCTTGAACCCAGGAAGCGGAGATTGCAGTGAACCAAGACTGTGCCACTGCACTCCAGCCTGAATGAAAGAGTGAGACTCCATCTCAAAGAAAAAAAAATTATGGTAAAACCAGTCTTAATTTAAAGGAACACTAGCCTTTTATCAAAGGGCAAAGTCATGATTTTAAAAAAAAATCAACAACAAAATTTCAAGGAAATGATTGTCCCTTGAAGCTAGCCATCTCCCCGGGTTAACTTAAGAGACTAGACTCTCCTAAATGAGGATGCTTATTTAGCAGCTTTCCTAAATTAGCAGCTTTGGGGATGTTAAGATCCGTAAGGAACTGTCCAAGGGAGATACTGTGTATGCTTTGCAGTGATTAAGCCATTAAGCTCTAATTGGTATTTTCCCACTCAAGGGTTTGTGAGGGAAGCTTTAAAATTATTTAGGAATTCAGTCCTCATCAGCTGTCTTAGCGTCATCCCCACGTTTTGGAATCTGAGAGTGGAGAGTGCAGAGAAAAGGTTTTTGTGTAAGTGGATTATGATTTTTGCTCACACTGTCCTTCCCCGTTGGTTTGTTATTGCAGATGAAGTGGAAAGGGAAGGACCTATTTGATTTGGTGTGCCGGACTCTGGGGCTTCGAGAAACCTGGTTCTTTGGACTGCAGTACACAATCAAGGACACAGTGGCCTGGCTCAAAATGGACAAGAAGGTTGGGCTGGAACTCGATGAAACCAGTGGGGCTGACGTGTGCTTTCCAGTTTTTCCCTGAGCAGGCGCCTAGCTCATCACTGGGGCACTGCTGCATAGTAGAGAAGGGGGCACATTCCTGAATTAAGTCATGCAGAAAACAGGACCTGGAGATGCTACCGGTTTCCTACTCCTCACAGGCTCTCCTGAGCAAGCAGAAGTTACCAGGATTCGACTGCTGCTGGCCCTGGCTTCTTTACCCACTGTTACCAGCCCGATTGCTTCTGGCTTTATGCCTTTCAGTTTATAACTAAAAATTACTGTTATCTTCTTATACTTAAAAATAACCAATTTATGGGCCGGGCGCGGTGGCTCAAGCCTGTAATCCCAGCACTTTGGGAGGCTGAGGTGGGTGGATCACGAGGTCAAGAGATCAAGACCATCCTGGTCAACATGGTGAAACCCCATCTCTACTAAAAATACAAAAATTAGCTGGGCATGGTGGCGGACGCCTGTAATCCCAGCTACTCGGAAGGCTGAGGCAGGAGAATTGCTTGAACCTAGGAGGCGGAGGTTGCGGTGAGCCAAGATAGCGCCATTGCACTCCAGCCTGGGTAACAAGAGCGAAACTCAATCTCAAAAAAAAAACAAAAAATAACCAATTATGTCTTTGAGAGAGTATTGGGGCTTGTGTTCTTTAGGGAATTTTTAAAAGTCTTTTTGAGAAACACCAGTCTAATGAATTAATCATTAATATTATCTAAGGAATAGAGAGTGCCTTGTCCCCAGGGTGAAAGAATGTCCATTTTCTCCTCAGGATTCTCTGGAGCTTCAGAGGCATGGTAAAGAAAACTGTGCTCCTGGCAATTTTATTGTGGCTTGGAAATGGAAATTGTCTAAGGGAACTTCCTTCTGCACGGGTTCATATGTTCACACAAAGATACACTTGCTTACTGACCTGCCTACCTAGCCATGAAAGGCAGGTGGGGAGCAGGACTGTGTGCTTTTGTCAATTACTCCTAAAAGACACCTGAACCTCAAAGTAAATCAATGTCTGATTCTTACCACAAATGGTGGCCCCAGCAGTTGCCTACCTGAGCATAATAAACAATGAAAGCCTCCCCCTTTTTTTTTTTAACCAGTTTGACTCAAAGCTTACGTGTTCAAATTGTGTTCACATATGTACACGGTAATCTAAATCTTCACATTGGAATCCCTGCTGGTTATAAGTTCAGTGGTAATTCCCAATGATCATGAGCATCTAAGTGTCACTGGGTGCCGTTGTCAGTGAAGGCGTTACAGACCAGATTTTGAATTTCCTTGGCATTGCCATCTAGAATTTGGACAGAAGCATGGAGAGTTATGTGTCAAAGACAGCAAAACTTTCTGTATCTTTTTCATGATTCTTAGCAAAGTGAATTTTAATCGTAGCTGAGTGTTGGCCAAATGGATATTAGATGGGGGCATCAGGAGCCATGGAATTGCTGCTCAAAGGAAATACTTTATGACACATGTTAATGGAGCCTTATAGCCTGTCACATGGTATGTTTATGTCTTGAAATTCACTCTGGAGAGCAGATGGTTCAAGCTTTACAGGGGTGGAAAGAATTGTTCGAAAATTACAGGCAGTGGTTTACAGACTGTACTCAAAGTATTTTGTGGGGCATCTCTGGAGGTTCCTTGAAACAAAGGGTTGCCATGATGGACATATTTTACTTCTATTGCTTACTTAATGTTTGGATGATTTCATAACAATCTAGTTCATCATCTCTAAGCTGTATTTTTTTTTTTTTTTTTTTTTTTGACATGGAGTTTGCTCTTGTTGCCCAGGCTAGAGTGCAATGATGCGATCTTGGCTCACTGCAGCCTCCACCTCCTGGGTTCAAGAGCTTCTCCTGCCTCGGCCTCCTGAGTAGCTGTGATTACAGGCATGTGCCACCACGCCCAGCTAATTTTTGTATTTTTAGTAGAGATGGGGTTTCACCATGTTGGTCAGGCAGGTCTTGAGCTCCTGACCTTGTGATCCGCCCACCTTGGCCTCCCAAAGTGCTGGGATTATAGGTGTGAGCTACCACACCTGGCCAATGTTTAGATGATTTCATAGTGATCTAGTTCATAATTTTTAAGTTGTATTATTTTTTACCTTAAGACAGAGTTTCGCTCTTGTTGCCCAGGCTGGAGTGCAATGGCACGATCTCGGCTCACTGTAACCTCCACCTCCCAGGTTCAAGAGATTCTCCTGCCTCAGCCTCCCAAGTAGCTGGAATTACAGGCATCCACCATCACACCCAGCTACTTTTTTGTATTTTTAGTAGAGATGGGGTTTCACTGTGTTGTCTAGGCCGGTTTCAAAGTCCTAACCTCAGGTGATCCACCTGCCTTGGCCTCCCAGAGTGCTGAGATTATATGTGTGAGCCACCGTACCCAGCCCTCTAAGCTGTATTCTAACATGGACCTAAATATTGACAGTAGGCAGTGAGAAAAAAGAATAAAGGAAGATTCCACTACTTCAGATAATTAAAACACCTTCTGCCTACCGTAAAGGACAGTGCCGAAGATAGAGTGATAAATTTCTAGTTTTTAACTATTTCTGTGGTCCTGAGAACATTTATGCCTTAATCCTAGCTCTACTCACTTTTTGGGGCTGTTGATTAATTGGGTTCAGAAACACTACGGGAAGTGAATATTACCTCTTGTTATAGATGACTTTGTGAATGATTCAAACTGTAGCAGCACAACTTTTGGGAAAGGTGATACATTTAGTGGGAAAAAAGTTTAATGCACGCCTTGAAGAAGCTTCTCTGAGGGTAGCACAGGAGGAAGAAGTGCCAATATAGTGTGTTTGTCTTTTGCTCTGCAATTCTGCAGGTGCTGGATCATGATGTTTCAAAGGAAGAACCAGTCACCTTTCACTTCCTGGCCAAATTTTATCCTGAGAATGCCGAAGAGGAGCTGGTTCAGGAGATCACACAGCATTTATTCTTCTTGCAGGTACCTCAGTCCAGGCTACCCCACAATTCTGAGAGAACGTGCCCAGGAGTGGTTGCAGAGTCGACCTCGGAGTTGACCACAAACACCTTTGTAGTGCAAAAATATTCTACCCCTGGAAAGTCAGCCCCTTTGGTTCTGTAATGGGAAAAAAGGTCTTCAGAACAGAACTATACTTGAGTGATGAAAATTGGTGTCAGATGAAATTGCAAAGGTGTGACGGTGACGAATAGATACAAGTAGCTACCTAACTTAAAACCTCCTTGAAAATGGATCCTGTGTTCTTCTAGCTAACTTAAAAGTAGTCGATAGTTTCAAAGGAAGGCTGAAGAGAGAGTCTTATAAAGCAGTAGTTCTTCCAAAAGTTTAAAATCTGCTCTCATTAAGAGAGGGCTTCAGCGCTCCAGCGACACTTGGTTTGTTCCCTGTATGTGGTACTTCAGACATCATGCTTCATGCTCCACTGTGTCTCTAATTGTCCTGTTTCTCCCTTACTTCCTCATTAGATTGTAAGCCCCTTAAAGGCAAGGATCATTAAGTACACAGTAGGCATTCCATAAGTCCAACCAAATTGAAGAAATTAGGAAATTCATAATTACACGTTGACCATCCAGAGGCACAGGGAGGAGAATTGGTCTGAGGATGAAAATCTTATCAGTTTCACTTATGTTCTTACCCAGGGTCAGAGTGGCTCCCCAGTTTCATGGCCAGTTGTAGTGATTGGCACTGGGGTTATTTGCATGCTCAAAGGTTTCAGTCATGTAAAAGATGGCAGTAGATTTCCAAGAGATTGATGTGTAGTCTGTCACACAGCCCTCCTGTAATTAATTTCAGCTTCAGTATATTGTGTTCAGCAAATATTAAGTTAAATATAATAAAACCCCCTAAATAATTCCTTTTTTAAAAAGATCTGGGTGTATGTGTGTGTATGTGTGTGTGTGTGTGTGTGTAAAAGGTGACAAATTTATTTCTGACACTTTCAGGTCCAAGAGGCACTCTTAGGCTGGGTGTGGTGGCTCACACCTGTAATCCCAGCACTTTGGGAGGCTGAGGTGGGCAGATCACCTGAGGTTGGGAGTTTGAGACCAGCCTGACCAACATGGAGAAACCCCGTCTCTACTAAAAATACAAAAATTAGCCGGGCGTGGTGGCGCATGCCTATAATCCCAGCTACTCGGGAGGCTGAGGCAGGAGAATTGCTTGAACCCAGATGGTGGAGGTTGTGGTGAGCCAAGATGACGCCATTGCACCCCAGCCTGGGCAACAAGAGCACCACTCTGTCTCAAAAAACAAAAGGAGGGGGATGCTTTTTCAGTTTTTCTATAGTGTTGCTCTTTCCTCCTTCTCTTTGGAGATGAAACCAAGGGATTAGAACGTTGCACTGCTTCAGAAACATCTCAGGTTTTGTTTTCTCTTTAAAGAATGTAAAATCACTTTTAAAACCTGAGAAGAATTTTTGTGTTTGAATGAAAGCACATAAAGATTCCTAGGTCCCAGAAGGTCCTAATGTTATAGAAATGGCTTTCTTGGAAGCACTGCCTGTCTCTTGTGTGACTTTGGCTTGATTTTCCCCTATACTGAAATGAGAAGGCTTTTGTTTTTTTTTGAGATGGGAGTTTCGCTCTTGTTACCCAGGCTGGAGTGCAATGGCGTGATCTCAGCTCACCACAACCTCCGCCTCTGGGTTCAGGCAATTCTCCTGCCTCAGCCTCCTGAGTAGCTGGGATTACAGGCACACGCCACCATGCCCAGCTAATTTTTTGTATTTTTAGTAGAGGCGGGGTTTCATCATGTTGACCAGGATGGTCTCGATCTCTTGACCTCGTGATCCACCCACCTCGGCCTCCCAAAGTGCTGGGATTACAGGCTTGAGCCACTGCGCCCGGCCATGAAGGCATTTTTATGACTGAGCAAGGCAAAATTTACCGCTTTTATGAATTTAGTGACTGTTGACATCTGTGAGAGGAGAGCTGGCTTTCCTGTTGTGTTTATTTCAGTGCCCCCCACATCATGCAGTTCTCTTGCTTCTATGTCTGGAACATCCCAAGTTGCACCATTCTAAGAAAATTAAGTGCAATGAAATATGTTAATTCAACATTATGGCTTAAGAATTATATTTCCTGGACCTCACGTGTACTTAAAAGTTGAATCGATCAAATTTTATTGCTTCCTTTTCCCTTAGAACAGCATATTGAAAGTGATGGTTTTTTTCTGCAGTCATAACTCAGTAGCCTTGGTGACTTTTGTCTTGTGTTAATACTTAAAAATAAATCCATTTCCTCTGGGGCTGTGTGTATTCAAAGGGGCCGAGGCTGCAGTTACCCCCAGAGCTACTCTTGACACTTCTTGGGTTCATGGCGCTCTGTCATAGCCCAGATGGCAGCCTCTGTTGTAACTACAGAGACTGTTTTTACTCTTCAGCATTGGTCATGAAGAGAAGGGATAAGGGGATTTTATGCGTAGCCATTATACCAGTAACTACTGTGACTGAACTCTCCACCTGTCCGCATCAGTAAAAAAAATTGTACTCTTTGTCAGAAAATCATGAACAGGCTGCCCTGGCAGCCCTCATTAGAACGCCCTGCAGCTGTCTGTTGTGATCAGCCTACACACCTCACTTCCACACACACAGGATCACATCTCCCTTGTTGCTCCTTTCAGGTAAAGAAGCAGATTTTAGATGAAAAGATCTACTGCCCTCCTGAGGCTTCTGTGCTCCTGGCTTCTTACGCCGTCCAGGCCAAGGTAGGCTCAAAGAAGAGAAATGTATTCTTCCTGGGGGTTAATTTAGGTCATGGGATCACTCCTATCTTCTCTTTCTTTGGGTTTTCTGTACTTCAGAGAGACTTGTCCCAGAAAGTGAGATGTTATGGTATTTGTGGACTTGGGAGAACCACTGTCGCTGTTCCAGTGTTTATATAATCGTGTGTGTGTGTGTGCGTGCGTGCGTGCGTGTGTGTGTATGTGTCCTGTGCACAAATTGTAAGTATCATTCTAGTTAATTAGAATTCATTCTAAGGAAATTTATTCAGACAGATGAATTTTCTATGTAATCTCATTATGCATATGTGGTTTATGACATTTACTGGACAAACCTTTTTTCTTTTTTTTTTAAACCATAAACTCAACCAGGTGGTACAACCTTTTTATTAGCCAGGAAAAATGAATTTATAGTCTCCAATATTAGCCAGACATGACCTTTTGGTCAGAAAGGCCCAGGTCCTCATCCAAACTAATTTGAGAACCAGCTACCCTGTGTGTGGACACTACACTATACCCTCAGAGAATGCGCTGTCTCATCTGCCCCTGCCTGATATGCTAGCTGTCCATGTGACTGAGCACTGTGGTGCTGTGGCCTACCGAGCCCAGTTGAGCTGTCTGGTTAGCTCAAAATCGTTTACTTCCGTTAAATCACTAGAGACCTTTTTTTTTTTAAAACAAGACCAATGAGAGGGTCAGCCAGGATGTTTCATGTCCCTCAGATTTCTTACTTCAGTCATATATCACCTTATCTTGGTTCCCCTGCTCCCTGCTTTTCACCAGAACACAAGATGTTGTCCCCAGAATTGGGACACTTTGATTACTTCTGTGATTTTATTTTATTTATTTTTTATTTCTATTCTTATAGAGACAAGGTCTCACTATGTTGCCCAGGCTGATCTCAAACTCCTGAGCTTAAGTGATCCTTCCCCTTCGACCTTCGAAAGTGCTGGTATGACAGGTGTGAGCCACGATGCCTGGTCTTGTGTGATTTTAAAACATAATCTTTTCACTTATTTTTCTTTTTAATTATAGGTGTTCATGAAGCCATTTCCCTATAAGGTCAGGAAAATTAATAAAATACTCAGCTTAATTTTGGGGTAGCTTAATGCAATTTCAGATCAAAGCTAGGAAGGAGCTGTGTCATTTGCAGGGTAAAAAGGGCTATACATGCTGGTCAGGCCAGTAGAGGCACCAGAGTCAATTTAATCATTTGATGGCTCATGTAACATTTGCTGAGTATTCACTAGGCCTGGGGTGGGAGGAACAGTGGGAGTTGTTAAGGGTCTCTTAGTTGCAGGCACTAAAGCAAGTATCTGCTCTCAGTGATTTGCCCAACATTCACAAAATCTTGGGTAAAGCTAAGGACAGAAGGGCAGAATTCATGGCTTTGGGATTGCATTTTGTGTGTCCAATATTCTACTTCCCTGAAAAGTGAGTAATTGAGAAAACAGAAAGAAAATGGGCCTTCATTCAACTAAAACATATGCTTCCTTTTATGCTTTGATCAAGAATTTTAGTAACAGGAAAAATATGTCCTTTCAATCAGTATCGCCCTCACAGTGATGAAGCGGTCACTGGCACTTTGATTAAATCCGAACACTTCCTGGTTTCTTTTCGCACGATTTCTCCCCGGTGAGGGGAGACCCAGGCTCTCAAGGACACTACCTCTCTTTGAAGGGCTTACATCTCAAAGGCTACATTTTCTTTCCATGGATTTTGGGCCACAAATTCAAAGGCCACCTGTAGAAAAAAAAATCACTTTTCAGGGAACCAGCAGATGTTTGCTTAAACAGATTTCACTGTAGGAAAGCCCTGCTAATTTGGATGCTACTAATTTAGAGATGAAAGTGATTCACAGACAACATATGTGGCTCACATGGAGGAGGATGTTCTAACTTTTTTCTGGTGTAAATTTTAAGGATCTTACAAATAAAGGTAATCTATGGCTTAAAGTCTTCGTTTGGGGAACTAAGGCTTACTCTGACATGCTTCCAGTTTCTAGGGCTGCTGGTTAATATTAAAAGGATATCTGATTAATTATTAATAAGATCTAGGCCGGGCACGGTGGCTCATGCCTGTAATCCCAGCACTTTGGGAGGCTGAGGCGGGTGGATCACGAGGTCAAGAGATTGAGACCATCCTGGTCAACATGGTGAAACCCCGTCTCTACCAAAAATACAAAAAAATTAGCTGGGCATGGTGGCACGTGCCTGTAATCCCAGCTACTCAGGAGGCTGAGGCAGGAGAATTGCCTGAACCCAGGAGGCGGAGGTTGTGGTGAGCCGAGATCGCACCATTGCACTCCAGCCTGGGTAACAAGAGCGAAAACTGTCTCAAAAAAAAAAAAAAAAAAATTATTAATAAGATCTTACATGCCCATAGTGTTTTATAGTTTAGCAAAGCAATACAAATGAATATTTTGTATGAAACTCAGTGTGATCTTTCCGGAAACTAAGGCTTGAGAGTATTATGCCTGTTTTGCAGATGAAGAATTTAAGGCTCAGAAAGGATTTGTGATTTGTCCAAACTCAGTACTTTTAGTTAAGTCTATTTTTGTGAAATTTATAGCCTCCTCCTCGATGGAGAGTATTTCAGGCCAAACAGAATGGGTAGAGCTGGGATGGGAGCCCTGGTGTCCAGGCTGCCTAAGTTAGCACATTGCCTTGCCTTTCACTGTCTGGCATGAGGGAACTCTTTGGGTAGCAAGCACTGCCTTTCACTAAAGGCTAATTTCCTTTATATGATCGTCTTTGTCTAAGTTTTTCATTAAGTTATACTGGTTCCTTCTGTTATATTTAACTTGTTTTCTTCCACAACCTTTCTGAAACAGAAAGGAACTTTAGAAGTGTGGAGGGGAAAGCAAATTGAGCTCATTAACACATGGAATGTAATTATGCACAAATGTATTCATTACAGTATTTCAGCTGTTGGAATGATGTAGACACAGTTAATTCGAAAGCATAAAGAAACAATTACCCTCAAAGTATAAATACAAATACTAATCACATGGTTCAGTTAACAAGAACCATATTTGAGTTATACTTGAATCAAAAGTTTAGATAGGGGCTGGGCTCAGTGGCTCACACCTGTAATCCCAGCACTTTGGGAGGCCTAGGTGGATGGAGCGCCTCAAGACCAGCCTGGCCATTATGGTGAAACCCCATCTCTACTAAAAATACAACAATTAGCCAGGTGTGGTGGTGTGCATGGGTAGTCCCAGCTACTTGGGAGGCTGAGACAGAAGAATTGCTTGAACCCAGGAGGAGGCTACAGTGAGCTGAGATTGCACCATTGCATTCCAGCCTAGACAACAGAGCAAGACTCCATCTCAAAAAAAAAAAAAAAAAAAAAAAGTATAGGCAGGGTTTTTTTTGGTACAGTCACATGACACACTAAACCATCTTGCAATGTTTAAGTCACCTGTTGGATTGTATATTGACCATTTGGTGTTGGAAATGTGTGCTTAATTAAAAATGACTTAGGGAGAGAAAGACTCCTAGTGATCAGAAAAGAGAAAGGAATTGTGGGAGGGGAGGCTTAGTGTTTCTTAGTACTCTTTAATGCAAATCAAGGAGAGAGTGCCAAAATACAATTGAGTTAGAAAATTGAATATGTGTAAAGTATAGATAGAGAGTGGCAAGAGTTGAGGCTGGAGAGGTATGCAAGAAATCAGATCATAAAAGGTCTTAACTTTATCCTGTGGGTGATGCAGTGAAGGGTTTATATTTTAAATAGAGCCTATAGTGGCTATGTGCTGGACAGATTCGAATGAGACAACTTTGGAAACAGGGAGACCCATTAGAAGGCTGTGATAGTTGTCCTGGTGAGAGAATATTAGGTTCACACATCAGGTAGTTAGTTGGATGAGGACTGACTGGTTTAAAAATATCCAGGAGGTAAAAGCTGATTAAATGGTGCTATGCTCTGCATATCCCTTTTTTTCATATCCTTTTACAGATTGGTATTTTTCCTTACACTCAGCATCTGCTTTGAGATATATCCATGTTGTGTGTATAGATGTAGCTCATTGATTTTAACTGCTTTATGGTAACCACTGATATCTGTTCTCCTTCTGAGGAAGAGGTAGTTTATTTCTACTTTTCCCCTATTATATAAACAGTGCTCAACTGAAGATCCTTTTGTGATTCCTTATATACATGTGCAAAAGCTTATTTTCCTTAGGGTAGGTGTCTATAAAAATAAATAAATAAATAAATGAAAACAAAAAATAGCCAGGCGTGGTGGTGGGCACCTATAGTCCCAGCTACTTGGGAGGCTGAGGCAGGAGAATCATTTGAACCCAAGAGGCAGAGGTTGCAGACAGCAGAGATCGCACCACTGCACTCCAGCCTGGGAAATAGAGTGAGAGTGAGACTCCATCTCAAAATAAACAAATAAATAAAATAATTTTTAAAAAGTTAGGTGTCTAGAAGTAGAATTGCATAGAATTGACAAAAGAGGTGAACCCAAATATAAAAAAATTTTAAGTTAATAAGAGAAAGACAAATGGTATGAATGGGATATGAACAGGCACTTTATAGAAGAGAAAACAAGAATGGCTAGCAAATACAAAAGATGCTTCATCTCACAAGTAATCAAGAAAAAGAAAAAGCAACAATAAGCCAACATTTCAATCCCATAAGATTGGGTAACTGCATTGCTGGTGCTCATTTCCCTGCCAAAGGGATTGTGAAACTGGCATAATGTCTGTAGAGCACCAAGTGTGGAAGGGGCGGGTGGAAGTGAGGAAGCACATTGCTGGCTGTTCTAGGTGGCTACTCCAGAGGAACGCTTACATACACATCCTTTTCACTTAAAACTGTCACAACAGATAGACCCACTTCATTTTTTTTTTTTTTTTTTTTGAGACAACAGTCTCTCTGTTGCCCAGGTGGCGCAATCTCCGCTCACTGCGACCTCTGTCTCCCAGGCTCAAGCGATCCTCCCACCTCAGCCTCATTGCATGCCCTGCTAATTTTTTG